GAAGAGGGGATCACAGAGATCATCTTAATCTGTCATTTTCAGATCACTCTGATCTTGGACTCCTTTCTTTTAATCAATATACATATGATTTTAATGGATCTTTCTCCATTAAAATCATATGCATATTGTGCCCAGGATTTGTGACATACACCTGTAATCCTTGGGAGGTTGAGGCAGGATGATCACAAGATCCAGGCCATCCTTAGCAATTTAGCAATACCCTCAGCAACTTAGTAAGACCCGTTTTCAAATAAAAATCAGAAATGGCCGAGGAAGTAGCTCAGTGGTAAAGCATCCCTGAGTTCAAACTCCAGTACCCCAAAAAAGAGGAACATATTCCTGTTTTCAATGGCACCTTTCTATATGCCTATGATATTTAGGAGGAGGAGGAGGAGGAGGAGGAGGAGGAGGAGGAGGAGGAGATGATGATTGTGAAACCCTAAAAAATACCATGAAATAAAAGTATAAATTCTCTAGTTGAAAAAGAGCAACATGGAATCCAGGGTCCAATCCTCTTAAATCTCCTTTACCTCCTCAACAGTTCTTGAATTGCTTTTACTAAAGGATTAGGTCTCCACAGAATGTATAGAAAAATTTTGGTTCAACTCATTAAAACCTAAAAGATTAATGTGCTAGTCTAAAATAAGAGCTGGGTGTGGTGGTGTATGTGTGTAATCTCAGTGACACAGGAGGCTGAGGGAGGAGAATGGCAAGTTTGAGGTCAGCCTTTACAAATTAGGGAAATCCTGTCTCAAAATAAAAATTAAAAAGAGCCGGAGATGTAGGTCAGTGGTAAAGCACCCTGGGTTTACAGCCTAGTACCACAAAAAAAGAAAAAAAAATGGGCACTTGTGCATGTGCAAGAAGGGTGTGTCAGAGCTGCATGCCTATTAATGATTCAGAGCCCATATGATATACAGGCATATACTTTTTAGTGATATTTTGGTCATCAACAGAATCCTTATGATTCAGTGTTCTCATAAATTATAATGTAGCTGAAAATTTTCTATTGATTACGATTTGGACTATACATTTTCTCTGTTTAGATGAGCAAATACCATTGAAGGATAATTGCCTACAGTATAATGGCATGATGTACAGGTTTGTAGCTGAGGAGCAACAGGCTATATAGAGAGCCTAAGAATGTATGTGGTAGGCTATCCCATCTACATTTTTGTATATTCACTGAGACATTCACAACAATGAATTTATCTAATGGTGCATTTTGTAGAACATGTTCCTGTTTTCCATGGCATATTTCTATATGCCTATGATATTCAGGCATACTGTAATTAATCCAGGAGTGCTGTATTCTGCTTTGCCTGAAGTCAAGGTATACTAGTCTCACAGAGAAACCTTTCAGAGAGAAAAGTAAAAGAAGTTTAGTCTGTGAACAAAACAAAACAAAGATGCACGTAAAACATTTATTTTCTTTTTCTGAAACCATCGCTCATTCTGTTTTCATAACAGAATGTGATTCTTTGCCATTTCCTTTGCTTCTTCTTATGCTGCTTCAGAATCTGAATTATTAATTCAACAAATATTTGACAGCCTTCTAGAAGGAAGTTAGTTCTAAGATCTTGAGATCTAATTGTGAGTTCATGGGTATGTAAGTTAGCTGGATATATCCATTCCAGAATGCATAGTTATAGCAACACATCACATTTTGCTCCTTGAATATATGCAATAATTATTCAGCAATTAAAACTAACATTCAATGAAAAAAGACAAAGTTTCTGCCATCATGGATTTCTACTTTTAAAAACTCACTAAATAAAATAAAATATTTCTGGGGCATTGTCAAAGAGATTGAAGAAATTTCCAAGGTGACATTTCAAAAAAGTTCTTAGATTGTGATACACAGAAGCAAATACTATTTTTAGTGCTAACATTTGTTTTTTCGGTTAGCTTATGTAGGATGTTATATAGTCTTGGTAACAAACTTTTATTGAACAAGAATATGCCCTTTTCAGCACCTTTTATTCTTCACCATGTGGCCATTAATATTATATAACACAATTCAGATGGACACATCACTTGGGGAGATTGTATGATTTCCTTACTCTCTAGGTTTGGCCAGCTCACGCTACTCTATGGTATCAGTAATTATTTTAGTCTCTCAGGCCATTAGTGCTAATCACAGTACCTTTTGCTATAAAAATAAAATATTCCATTATAGCAAAGTTCACAAATATATTTTTAGTCCTGCAATGCACATTGTCCATCAAAACAGTAAATGTCTCCTTCGTATATTATTGTCTTAGACTTGTAGTTGAGTATATAGTATGAAAGAGAATTGTAATGAAGCCACAGTATAATACTAAATATTTGCTTGGACTTAAAAAATGTTAGCCTCTTATTATATTCAGTATTCTGATATTTGAGATTACACAGAAAACTACATCCAAATGAGTGTCTGAAATCATTCACTTCTCTTCAGAACAGGTTGTCATTGGAGAGATACATTCAGCATTCATTTAGGTCTTGTAAATTTTAGGCACTAGTTTAATTTACATAGTTAATGCACATAATAGGAAGGACAAAGTCCAAAACAAGTTTCTAACTTAGAAATGAGCACATAGTATTTGATTAGTATTTTAAAATTTACAGAATACATCAAAATAACTAGAGAGAAATCAAATTTATGTTAGTTTGGTAATACCTATATCAAAACAAGTTATTCCATTGGACAATATTTTTTTCTATAGGAATCAGTCCATATTCTGTAAGATATAAGTAGTTTTTCATTGTTTATGATTACAGATACATAATCCAATTATATTATCGATAGTCAACATTTCAGGTAATATTTCTTCCATATGAAGATAGTTAGAATCTAAATTGTAATTCCTCAAAACACCATCTGTTTATATAATTGGCAATTAATATTGATAATTATTAATGAAGCCTATTTTATAAACAAAACCACACATGTCAGTAAAACATTTTAAGCCTCTCTGGTCCTATTTTAAAGCAATTAAAGGACTAAGATAAATGAAATCCGTTAATTAAAGTACAGTTATGGATCATATTAACAAGCACCCCCCTACTTAACCATTAAAATAAATTCCCAGAATATTTCTTTAAAATACTTATAGAAATCTCATGATACCAGTTTTTTTTTTGAGGGGAGGGAGAGAAGGGGTTGAATTTATGCAATAAATATAGCATGATAAACCCTGCAGAATGCGTAAGGCTGTATTTTTAATGTACATTATAATGATTCAAAGCCCATTTGATCAAGGCAGTAATTAAGAAGAGCAAATGTATTACATTGTCACATACTAGAATAGTGATTCAGAACACAGAAAAAATAATCAATTAAATATGAAACTGCTCATACTTCATTAATAATAAGACAAATTCTTATTTTCCAATGTTGTCTCTCATAACAACTTTAGATGTCTCAAAACATTCTAAGTTAAGAAAACTGGTGATCAATGTTTCATAGAACCCATAGGGACTAGGACAAAAGTTTAGGACAAGAGGATGGGTGACAGAGTAGTTCTAATTTAAAGCTAAATTATCTCCTTTCCTTTTGTAAAAGGGGATGGATAGGACACCTGGATGCAGTGGGAAAATTATAAGCAAGCAGAGTCTGGAGACTAGTACCCCACTCCCTTGTAGAACAAAATGATCTTTTTTGCCTTTCTTTCTTTCTTGTTTATCTTTTTTCTTTTTCTTTTTTTCTTTTTTTTTTTTTAATTGAATTTGAATTGAGTCAACAGGAATTTCTGACCTGATTCTTTTATTTTATCTTAGTTGCTTCAGCTGAAAATTGTATGGATCATTTAAAATATTATTTCTCTTTCTTTTCTGATTAGGCTGTTATATGCAAAATATTGATAAAGGATACTGAGCTATTTTGCAAGTAGAATTGCTACATAACTATAGAAAAACATTTCTTTTACTACTAGTGATATTTTTAAATTCTCCAAATCACTACATTTCTTCAAATATGCCATTGTGCTCAAATTAACACCATTCTATCTTAGAGTAAGTACATCTACTGATTACAAATTAAATTTTCATTTAATATGTTTTTATAAACTTCCATATAAGAAAGTCCAAATGTATTCATTTTTGCTTTAGAGATTCATTTTATAAAATCTGTGGTTTTGTATGCTTTCTGAATTTATAAAATGTGTCTGTTACTCCATTAATTTGAGTCTGCAAGTTTGATGCTCCATTGATTCTACCAGATTATTATTCAAGTGTCAATTCCCTTTGATTCTGAACTTTTTTCAGATTTGAATGCAGCTATTTAATACTGACATCCACATGTAGAAACCTAGTTTGGAGGATTAAAACATAACAGTGATTACTTTCAATAATACATTAATTTAAAAAATATGAGTCTGTTTTTATTTTGTGTGTCTACATAGCTATTTTACTTTCTTTAAATACCCATTTTTAAATATATAATGTCTTCTTGCTTATTCTATTTTAGAACCTTCCTCCTATTCTATATTCCATTATCCAAATTCATATCAAAATTTGTGCTGCTCATTTCAAATAGCTGGATTTCTAGTATGGAATAATTCTAGTAGAGAGAAACATATCTATTAACATGTGTCTACAAAATGTAAAAGAAAAAGAGAATGTGTCAGAAATTTGGCTATTCATTCAAATATTTTGTCGACATGATGCAAAACATATTTAATAACTTCTGTTACCTGTATACATCCTTGACAAAATTGCCTTGGCATTTTTTACATAAAATAATTATTATTAGTTCAAAAGAATAAGGATAGCAATAACCGCAATGACATGAAGAATGTATTCAGGTAGAGAAAATTCCAATCTTGGGTAAAGTGACCCCAGTTTGCTAGTATAGACTGAAATCTTTATAATATGATTGTGATTTGAATTTTCAGAATACTGAAGACCCACAACAGTTAATTATCCTCCAGTTGATTTCAACAACTAGATCATAAAACAACTAGTATCAGATATGCAAATGAATAAAAATAATTAAAAGTTATGTTGCATTTTAGTTCAAAACAGGACAATTTATACTGGGCAATTTGGTGATGACATTGAAATACTTATGATTAGAAATCCTCTTCCAGTATAGGTTATTGCTCAAGGATCATAATCAGCTTGGAAACTTTCAGACTACGTGGAGATTACTTTATAAAGTTACATAAAATCGTGAAAAAAATGCATGCTTTAGAAATTTAGTATTTCCATCAAGCTTGTTGTCTAAAAAGAGTATGAATACAAGAGCAAATGGATGTTTTTAACACAGTTTCTTGGTATTTACAGTATTTTCTCTTCTCTTGCCGCCATCCCTTCAAAGCTGGTTAATTGTTTCTCTGGAGCCTTTTTCACTTCACATTCAGAACACAGAGGCATTTGCAATTTCTGTCAAATAACATAGAAACACAATTAGAAGAATCAAAATAAAACCATTTTCAGGTAAAAATATAAAATCCTAAAGGATGGTAATGAAAATCCATATCTAAATCAACACCTTTTGGAAAACTAATCACAGACACAAATCAAATGTGTCAAATTGCTAATACTTTTACTTTCATGGAAGTTAGCATTTTGTACATAAATAGCCAGACTTCCAATAACTGCTTTCAGAAAATTTTGATTGTACCATTCACGTCTGACCAATCTAACCCTAATAAAACTTAAGATTGCTATAATGGAATATTTTTGGTTACTTATAAAGCAATACAGAAGAGAATTCAGAATGAAGCCTTTGAGTTGTGTTGATGGTGTTTTTTTTTTTTTCTTTTTGGCAGGGGGAGGTGGGATAGGTACCCCTTTCCACCTTGCTTTCCCAAATCTTCTTTATTCTTTTTCATCCCATAGGAAGTTTATTTTGCATGTATTTTGCACTCTGTTCACACACACACACACACGTATATATACATATATACATTTTGTATGTACATATACATATTTTTGGTTGTGGCATGGGTGAAGTTGAGGGAGAGCTCCTTCACCGTGAATCTTATGAGAATCTTTAGTGGAAAGCACGGCCCCACACAGGTCCAATGGCCCTTGTTGAAGGAACTCTCTAGTACTAGTCAGTACCACCCTGTCTCCAGCTAAAGCAAACACACTGATTGCAATGGATCCAAGAAGTACTTCCCAACATAATCAAAATAAAACAGACCAAGAAAGCACATACCTGTGGGACAGGCTCTGAATCTGCAGTTGCATTTCTTGGGGGACTGTCCTTGTGTTTTGTTAAACAGGTTCTGCCCTCCTATAAAAGTGGCAAATAAAAATAGGTCAATTTAGTTAAATTAAACAAAGAAAAGTAGGAGCCAAACTCTTTTGAAAAATTCCCTTAAGTTCCCATCACTTTGATGAACACTGAAAGGGAAGCTAGGGACAAAATCAGTACAACGTGAGTGGGACTTTCAATGACAGATCAAGTTTTCATGGTCAGTTTTGAGATCTCAGCAGTGCTTATGGAAATCAGCTGCTACAAAGAAGTTCAATTCTAATAGAAATTTTGTTTCCTTTTTTTTTGAAAGTTAAAAATAAGGGAAGAATTATAGAACTACTATATTTGTGATGCGTGTGGACTCAAAAATTTAAAAATGTCAATAACCACTGTTCTGTAGGAATAACAATATTGCGAGCCAGGAAGCAAGTTAAATGATACTATCATCAATAAGTCTCTCAAAAAGTCTTCAGTATCATGACAAAATATATTATTTTTATAACTTAAATTTTATTAACCAATGAACTTCATTTTACTATTATTATCATCAATTATGTTGGCAATCAAAAATATTCCATTTCAGCTTCATTTTTGGTGCCACCTACTCAAACTCAGATTTTCTTTTCACCATCACTATTAAGTACACACAAACACAAAACTTTTTGTCAGATCAATATTTTCTTTGCCTAATTTCCCAGTAGTACTTTCAGTAAGTATCATTTTCTTTAATTCTTATTGCTATAACCTAAAATAGAATTCCAACTCATAGAAAGAGACAAAAAGTGCTATTTGTATGAGAGATTTTATGATTAAGCACAACAAGGTTGTGTTTAAACCCATTGACTAAGAAGTACATGATTTCCCAATGCTCAAATTCTTAAATTTACTATTACTACTTTTGTGGCCTTGGACAAAGTATTCCCTTTTTCTCAATATTTCAGTATTCAATATATATTTCATTATTTATTTTTTTCCATTGAGGAACTGTTTGCTCCTAAGTATTCACAGGAATTAAATTTAAAAATTTAGGGCATTTATCTCAGTGCACCTAAACCTACTAAGATTTCAGTACATTGTCTATAACATTAATGATGAAAATTATTAACATAAGGAGGCAACTAATGTCCAGAAGCTCTCTTTGTTCATCCTTTAATAAGGATGTACTAAATCATAACAGTGTTCTGGGTAGAATAGCAAGCAACATATACACACATACACACACACATTACATGACACAAACACCAATACTGCAAAAATATTTGTCTCCCTCAAGCATCTTTGCCATATTATGTGGCAAATATCTTGGTCTTAGGTATTTTAGAAATAATTCAGCAACTGAATTATGGGATTTGGGGGAGTTAAAACATTTCTTTACTATGCCTGTTACTTTCATACAGAGGAAGACATTGATTTAGAGTCTAAGCAGGGCAGTGGTTATGATTATGATTTTAAATGCTAACACAAATATATCTTCCAACACTTGATTATAATGAAATATCTTCAAAAGAACTATATGGAAAATCGTCAAAAGTTTGAATAGTTAAGATGAACACACTATTCATGTTTCTTGAGAAAGTCCACATGGATAATGAAGTGAAGAAAGGTAACAAAGTTAATCATACAGGAGATTTAAATTAAACTACTAATTATAAAATGGTATCTATATGGTTGAGAATTTTATGCACATCACCTATGTAAATGTCAACAAGATTCTGTTTTAAAGATGAATGGTACTTTAGACTTTATGAGGAAGTAATAATTATAGAATATGCTCATTTTCTCTTGAAGATATTGACAAAATTGGGAGAGAAACAATATAAGAGAGGATTTAGTATGTATATCGAAAATATATTTTCTGGTAAAAAGAATATGTACTTTTTAGCTGGGCGTGGTTGTTCACACCTGCGATTCCAGAGCCAGGAAGACCTCAAGTTTCAAAACCAGCCTCAGCAAGGACCTAAGCAACTTAGCAAGACCCTGTCTCAAAATTAAATAAATAAAAATAAAAAAATAATGAATAAAAGGACTGGGGATATGGCTCCACTGAATTGTATACCCAGTACCCAAAAAAGAAAGAGAGAGAGAGAGAGAGAGAGAGAGAGAGAGAGAGAGAGAGA